CTGGAACGCGTGAGCTGTTCCTTGACCTGACAGAGGTGTGGGCCTGGGAGATAGTGCAGGAATGTGCAGTATATAACTTGAGGCATGATTATTCTTTTCAGTGCAGCTTGAACTGGTAAATGCGCCTTACCCTAAGGTATTGTCCTGCTCCTTCATCTTGCTAATTTTCTTGGTAAAAGGGATTTTTCTGAGCAATTGAATGCATTGGGCATCAGCTTGAGCATTCTTGTCCTGAGCTGTCTAAATGACTAGCGGAGCTTTGGCAGATGCTAGGAACTACCTTGAAGCAATGCAGTTGGTATTAAGGCCACTCATACATATCTAATATATATGCAGAGCTGTGTGTGGGATTTGGAGACCAGAATCCCAAGGACCTCATAGTTAATAATGATTTTTGGCAAAAGGGAGGGAATGGAGAGAGAGGCAAACAAGACACCTGGATGTCATGGTGCATTAAGAGTGCTTTACAGCAGTAAAGGTATCAAACGTGACATCATTCTTTAACTGTCTCCCCTCCAGTTAAATCTGTATAGAAAAAACACTTGAATGTGAACACAAATGTCATCCCATACTGGGGAGGACGTGGTTTGAGTAGCCCTCTGACCTGACTGTGATTTCAACTGAGCATGTAATTTTTGGGTTGCCCAGTGGAGAGAGAAAGACTGTCCTTCTGTGACTGTCTCATGTTTGCATGCAGCTTTACCGAGTGCTCGGCCAGGTTACCTGAGCCTGTGGAGTACCCAGGCATGTGCACGTTGAGATGTGCTGCAGCAAACAGTGAGTTAGGGTTTTATCAGCTGTGTGACGGCACCAGCACAGTGGTGACAAGCAGGAGTGTCTGGGTTGGTGGTGTTTTAGCAAGTATCGTCACTCTTCACACCCTACTGAGCAGCTCTCTGTTAACAGAGTGGAAATACAGAGTGGAAAATACAAATTTCTGCATGCGCAGCCCATGCCCGTGGGTAGGCTGAGCCCTACTGAGTCTTTGGAAACTGGACTATGTGATTCCTCTCCATCCACATTTTGTCTGTTCGTTGTGTTGGTAGCTTCTTGGAGGGATGAGAGTGGAAGGAGGGGTGATCCTGTGGAGGAGCAATGGCTTGAAGATCTAGTATAACCCTGTCTGCTTATTGCTTCAAAATGGTTAAATCTGTCCTCCAGAGAGAATCTCTGATCTTTTAACCTTGGGAGATTCTGCCTCCTAGAGCTGTGACTAGTATTTTAGAGAGTATTTGGGGCAGCAGTAAGGCTCTGATGAAGTCCGTGTGGGTAGTTTCCCAAGTACCGGCCGATGGCCCCTGAGCTGCTGCGGCGTGTGCTGGCACGAAGACGGGTGTCTCCATGCGGAAGCGCAGCACGCGTGGCGCCCGCAGACAGTTTCCGTGTGCCTAAAGTAGGGCCAGGTTCCCCGCTCTGGGGGGATGAACGAGGAAGGTGAAGTTACTGCCAAGTTAGCCATTGCTGCGGGGTGTCCTTTCTGTCCATGCAGGATGTCGTGGTGCCCTCTGATGGCTGGTGGCTGTGCGGACTGGTCTGCCTCGGTGCCTCTGGACGGTTCGGGCTGCGAGGGACTGGTGGGTGATTTACACCTCCTGCAGCGCTGTCCCTCAGGAGTCTCCTTGGGAAGGAACGTTTCATTACCCAATAAATCGATCGAACCTTTAACATTTCTATTTAATATTTCTGTTTAAGGAGCAGTCGCTGTAGTGAACTCCCCCCTGTAACGTGAGGTGCAGTGCTGCCCACGGCACAGCGGCGTTTTTGCAGTTCATCAGGTTGCAGTTCAACAGCTGTCTGGTCCCTTTTGTGGAAAAGAAAGAGAGCAATGGATCGTCTTTTCCATTAATAAATTGACCTTCTTCTGCCCCCCCCCCCCCCCGATCTGTATCTCACATTGTCTTCTGGTTGTGTTGGAGTGCACAAATGCTAAATGAACACACAGTACTTTGCGACCTCTTGGGATGAGGCGCTGTGTGGAAAACAACATATTAATCCCTTTGATTGGGTTTTGAATAATTGCCTCCAGTCTCTGGACTTGGGTTGACCTCCAAGGGAGCGATCTGCAGTGGTGAAGCCCTGCTAGGTGGGTGGACTTAGTGGGTGCTGTGCCACCACTGCTGTCACCCGACCCTCCTCAGGGCAGTTCTGGTGCCATTGTTGGACCCTTCGAATGGGCACAACTCCTCAGTCCAGCAAAACTTGAGGAAACTGTGGTCACTGATAGGATTGGATCGGAGAACAGTTTGGGTGGCGGCTGGAAGCAGCAACGGGGGACGGATGTGAACGAGGAAGAGCTTCCTTCTGTCCTGGCAGTGAGCTTGGAGGAGCGAGTGGGGCATGAGGAAGGGTGGACTCTGGGTTTGCAGAACATGGGGGTGAGCAAGTGGAAGGAGAGGTCCTGAGCCACCCAGAAAGCAGTGTGTGCATGCCTGTCCTGCTCCTGACTCGCTCCTTTCCCTGTCCCGCCGGGTGGGGTGGTGCCTTCCTGCAACTGCTTCGCTATGGGTTGTAAAGTTGAAGTGCAGTTTGAGTAACCGAGTGATTCCTCTCCAGCCTTTTCTCCTCCCTCAGCTTCCTGTTCCTCAGCTCTGCCTTGTTTGCTCAAGTCAGGAAGGGGGAGGGTATGGGGGAAGTTAATCATTAAACTGTAATGTCTTCTTAACTCCTTCACAACCTGTGGCCAGCGTGCTCCTGGCATTGCCAGACCCCTCTGCTTCTGCACACTCGTAAAACTAAACCAGGAAATCTCCCCGAGCTCGTTCTGTGCCGTTAGTAGAAAGCAGTGGATTTCTGTCTGATGGGTCATTCAGCTGAGCCGAGGAGGAGGATTTGTGGCGACATGGTTATATCTGCCTGTCTTGCAGTGAGGGCTGGGGTGGAGGGTGGAAAAATGCTTTGGGTCCCCTTGTTGGGGCTGGAGGAGCCCAGCGCCCTCATGGGATTTTCACTTCCTGGTGGAGTTTGATTTGCCTTTGTCATTGGTGGGGAGAAGCGAAAACCACACCTTCTGGGATAGCACTTCTCTTGGAGGTTGTGTGCATGAATCCTCCAGTCATAGGACCTGCCTGGTTGAAGAAATTGCAGCTCTTCAGCAGTTCCCTTGAGGTATGTGCCTTGTGCTCTGGAATCCACCAGCTGTTCTTTTGCTTAAAAAGAAGATGAAATTCATTTTTTCCCAGCTGCAGAAAGCTTGTATCCCTTCAGAGAAACTGCTTCTGGGGTATTTTGGCCCCTGTAGGAAGATGCCTGTGGCTTAAATGATTTGTAGCATCTTTTTGGCTAAATGAAAGGTGTATAGAGTTAATTTAACATGGTATTTAACTTGCTGATGGATGTATTCTGTTCTGGGAGGGCAGGACCGCTTATTTGTGATTTTTTTTTTGCGTTGCTTTGGTTTGTGGAAGAGAGTGAATATAAAATCAGCACATCCCTTACCTTGTAATGCAATAATACCGTCGTCCATTTGACCCTTTGATATATTTCCTTGAAGGGTTGCTAAGTGCATTGGCTGGTGTGGTCTGCTGTGCTCAGGAAGTGGCTTTGAGCTGGCAGGTGCCTGCCCTTAGAGCTGGTAGGCAGCCATTAGGGCGAGCAGTTGCTATCCTGATGCCAGCTGATAACTTCAGCTCCTTGTGACCCTGATGGAGGATACTGCAGGATGGCTACGCTCAGGCTGAGCCCTCACACCCCAAACCTGAGCTCCGAGTACCTGCTGTGTGCGGGAGCAGGAGGGCAAATCCTGCTAATGGAGGCTGCCTGAAGTCTGTGCGGAGGGGAGGGAGATCCAGGGGGGTTTCTGAGAGCCTCCTCTCCTCATTCTGCCGAAGTTGTGTTACTGGTGTCTGGCTGAATTCCATGTCTCTGAAGGGACCTGCCAGGTATGTCCTGATGCTCTTCTAATGGAGAGCGCCAATGTCTCTAGCGAACCGGCTCCTCACTAATAGCCTTAAAGAGGTGTGCACTGGAGCCTGCTGCCCCAGCGGAACACCGGGCACCTGGCCAGTGAGGCTTTCTTTAGAAAGTGAGCACAGTGCAGACCTGCAGTCGCTCACTGGAGATTCCCCCCCCCGGGAACCGCAGTGGGCTCCGCAGGGTGAGCTCACAGGACAGAATGCCCAACAAGTCAGGATTCGCCTGCGAGTCACCACAAAGGAGTGCAGGGTTGGAAATGGGCAGAGGATAGTTTGCAGGAGGAAATCCAAAAAGGTGGGAGTGCCTTTTCATGCGCTTTTCCTCCGTTAAGGTTTCGGAGAGGTGCTGGCTGTGTGACGTGGGTTCCTCTGCCTGGCATGGGCGCCAGCGTTTCTAGCTGGTGGAAGTTTTTGTTCAGGAATTTGTGAGCAGTCTCCACCCAGCAAGCTGAGAATTGTTTCCAGGAGAAGAAATGGCGTTTACCTGGCAGCCTCTGGAAACTGGTTAACTGTTTGTGTGATGTACTGAGAGGGATTTTTGTTAGGAAAACTGAAGCACATACTCCTGCTGTGCCAATGGACTAATTTGAAAGTTTCATGCTTCTTCTGCTACCTTAGACTCTGGAGAAAACCCCTCCCGAGATCTTGTTTCCTGCAGAAAGCAGTGCCTGCGGCCACAGTAAATGACTCGGTGATGATGCGAGGCCTGTAATTAGTCTGTGTCAATATGCTGTTGCGAGTCGCTCTCTGGGCAGGTTTCTCCTGGGTTACTCTTCTGCAGGGTGCAGTAGGACTATGGGTCCCTGTGGCCGGACGGTTTTCCTGTGAAGACAAAAATCTGAGACTGACACGGTTTTACTGGCTGCTTTGTTACCTCTTGGTGTTTTCCTTGTACTAGAAGTTTGATTAACCCATTCAGTCCTGGGCTGTCATGATGTTTTTCAGGGCATTTAGTAGACCACTCTAGATGAAAAGTCTTCCCAAAGACCTTCTGATATGGATATCTTCAATGAGATGAAAACCAAAAAGCTGTAGTCCAAGATTTTACTTTTTTTTTTTTCTTTTTTTTTTTTTTCTTTCCTGCAGACGCCTTACTGGCAGACCTGGAATCCACCACCTCACATATCTCCAAACGACCAGTGTTTCTAACAGAGGAAACACCTTACTCCTATCCAACTGGAAACCACACGTACCAAGAGATTGCTGTGCCACCTCCAGTGCCCCCACCACCTTCCAATGAGGCCCTGAATGGCACCGTGATTGACCCCTTAGACCAGTGGCAGCCCAACGTATCCAGATACGTCCACCAGCAAGTAAGTGCAGATGGGGAGGATGCATGCTTGCTTTGTCGGTGCAGTATTTCTCAAGGAAGTAGACAAGGGACAAGGGGAGGGAACAGCAAGAAGCGAGGATGAGTTTGGCTATGAACAGAGTGGGGAAATGGGAGGAGGTGTGGGTTTTTAATAGAACTAACTGACTGGAGCAAATGGCAAGAAAAAGAGTTTGAAAGTGGCGTTCTGACAAAATGGTAGTATGATGAGATTAGTGTTAGTCATCTGTCTTGTAGCCTGTGGAAAGCAGAGTGGGGGTTTCCAGCACAGATCTGCGACTCATAGGCAAATCTGAAGCAAGTGGAGAACAGTTGTTCCTGGTATGGTTCGTCTGATAGAGGCTGGCTTGGCTATATGGCAGATTTTTTTTTTTCCTTCTGCTGGGCTTTTTCTGTCCTATCCATGTGTGGGGTTGCAATGCTGTAATGTACATATTTGTTTTGTATCCTCTGTTTCCAATGCAAATCTCATTTCCACAGCCTCAGTCCCAGTCTCCTATATACAGCTGTAGTGCCAAAAGCTCCAGTGCCTCTGTTCCTAGAGACGGGCTTAGCTCTCCTCCTCCCCGTGCCACTGAAGAGGAACACGTCTACAGGTATCTTGTCCCTCTTAAGAGATAAGCCTGACTCACAACTTGAGCCTGCTGTGGCTCAAGCTGCCTTCTGTAAGTGGAACAAACACTGCGCTCCCTGTGTAGGTTATGTTGCCCTGTGTTGGTTTTGATTACCTCTTTTGTAAGAGGCTACTACGACTTTCATACTTACTTCAGACATCGATGTGGCCCTCTGGTTTGCTCAGCTGCAGAAAAGGTTAAGGATCCATCAGACAGAACGGGATCTGGATTGTGTTGTGAAGGATATGATCCAGTGACAAACGACAAATCTATCCCCTGTTAAGTATCCCAAAAGTTCTTTAGGAAGTGGGTGACCTTTGGGTCAGTTGTTGCAGGGAAATCAGTTACTTGTGGCCTAGCAGGGTGTGCAATGACTTGAATTTTCAAGTAAATCCAGACTTTTTAAAACTTTCATCTTAGTAGATGGTAGATAGATAACTAGCTTATACTCGCAAAGGCAGCTGCTCTTACACCGAGAGGCTGGAGGAGTAGCCTGTATGGTAGGACAGACCTTTCTGCTGACACGGGGATGAGTGAGGAAGAGGCTGTCAGAACTTCATCTCTGATGGCCGTCTACAGAGCACTCTGTCCTGGGTACATTTTTACGGTGTGGAGACTGGTGTTTCTCTGGTGGTGTGTTCTAACCATGCCTAGCTCTTTCTGCTGAGCAGAAAGTTGTTTTCAACCGGAATTAATTCTGGGTAAAGGCAGTAATTACAATTCTTTCAGATGGCTACGTGCAATTAGTGCAAAATGGAGGTAATTGCTGCCATAAGTCCTCCCGTACAAGGGTCTGGCATGACTTGGTTCTGGTGTGAATTGTACCTCGTGTGCTTGGGTTGGGATGAAGTATGCCCTTCTCAGATTGCATATGTGGATTTTTTTTTTTTTCAATCTGAAGAGAAAGATAATAACTGCCCTTATGGAATTTCATAATTGTCACTGGCGTTGTAAGTGTCAGAGTCCTAAAGCCTGTTAGATATTAACTTTCTGAGCATAATGTGGTGGTGTGCGCAAGAGAAAGTTCCCATTTTGGATGTGGAGAGTATCTTTTTGATAAAATAAGAACCTCTAGAGCACTAGAAGTTATTTCTCCATTTGTGAAACTAGGAGAAGACAATTTCCCTGCCATTGACAATGGGAAGACTGTTATTACAGTGTAATTGCTATAAAAATCACTGCATTGATGGAAAGTTTTGCTTTGAAACAGTTTGTAGTTGTGTGTGGTAAATGGGATCACCCATACAGGATAAGCAGTAATTTACAACCAGTGTTTTTTATACACTTGTGCACAAGTGTATAAAAAGCCTTCTTTCAAGGCTTGTATATTTAGCACAGTAGAAAATAGTTTCAAATTATGTTCTTATAAATTGATTAGAGTTCCCAAAATTAAAGGTTTGAGGACTTGAAAAGAGACCTTGAGTACTGCAAGAGCCTACCACATACCCTGCTGCTTTTGACTTTTTGTTGATAGCTTGAGGTTTGTAGTTTGCCTCTTCCTCCAGTCTGTGCTAGCTCTGCATTCCCTTGCTTCGGGAAGGAGATTTCTGCTGCTTGGTGTGGTGTCAGCAGAAACAAGTCATTTTCCTGTATGCAGACTCATGGTTCTGCTGCTGTTCTGTGCATCTTGGATCTGCAGACGGTTAACTTTTTGCTGCAGGGCTGTGCAGCACACAGTCCTAAAGCCTGAAGCCCTGTCCATCAATGCGATTTCCTTGTAACTGACAACTGACCATGTGGCTAAGCAGCAGCTGCATTCTAGTCGTTTCACAGAGCACACATCTTCTTTCCCCCAGAGCTAAAAGCATCAACTTGAAAAGAGTACAGTACATGTGTAAACTTTGTGAACCTAATAGAAGTTTCTCTCCATCCTTCCGCTGTATCTTGCTGCTGAAGTTTCACACTTCCCTTTTATCTTTAGTTTCCCGAACAAGCAGAAGTCTGCAGAACCATCTCCCACAATGACCAGCTCCTCTCTGGGCAGCAACCTCTCAGAACTGGACAGACTTCTTCTGGAACTGAATGCTGTTCAACATAATCCTGCCGGTGGCTTCCCAGGAGGTAAGGAATAGCAAGACATTTGATATGAGTGGATAGTTTGATTCTTAAAATAGCAGCCTACTTTTTCCTTCCAACATCCTTACTGAGGGAGACCCCTCCAGCCCTGATCAAAGATTCATTTAGTACAGATGGAATCTCTTGTGGTCTGTGGTGGAGCCCCCTGCTCAAAGCAGGGTCAGCTTCAAAACTGTCTCTAATTAAAGTTTCAAAGTTAGATTAGGTTGCTCAGGTTCTTGCACTGTTAAGTTCTGAAGATCATCAAAGATGGATGTTCCACAAGGTTTCTGGGAAATTTGTTGCTCTTGTCTGTGATTAGTGTGTATGTGTGGACCTAGGGGTCTGAGTGACTCTCTTCTGCTTCTCCTTCCTTAAGATGAAGCCAGCAGAAGCCCATCGCTGCCTAGTGTGACTGGACCTCACTATGTTGTCCCAGAGAGCAGCAGCTCGGTGGGAGGGAAGGCAGCACCCCCTACAAAAGAAAAGCCAAAGCGAAATGGTGCACGTGGGATCGAAGATGTGCGTCCCAGTGTGGAGAGCCTGCTGGATGAGCTGGAGAGCTCTGTGCCAAGTCCAGTGTGAGTAGTGGTTGCTGGGTTGTGTGGGATGGGACAGGCTCTTGTGGGAATAGTGACTGTAGTGTAGGGGCAGATGCTGCAGGAGAGTGACAGACAGAAGATGGGCTTTGTCTAAAGGATCAGAAACCAAGCAAGTGCATGAAAATGCCGGTGCTCTTTTATCTACTCCTGGATGAAAAAATACATAAGTCATATTACGAGAGGTGGATTGTTCAAACTCAGATTTGTAGCTGATCACAAATACCCACTGCCTGACAAAATGAACGTTTGGTCATCGTCTGTTCCTTAATGGGTGGTGGGGTGAGATGTGTGTATGCTCATGTCAGGCTTGGCAGAGAGGCAGGATCTTCTGTGTGTTGTGGAAGCTGGGTCTGGGGGAGGGCTGCCTCGGGTGGGCAGTGCTGATGAAGCTTGTCATGCTGTGCTTGCTTAGGGAAGCAGTGGGACTTTCAGTCTAGGAGTGCTCTCCCAGGCTTAAACGTGATCTTTTTTCCCCTCCTTTTTTTTTTTTCCTTTTTTCTCGTCAGCCCTGCAATCACTGTGAGCCAAGGTGAGGTGAGCAGCCCTCAGCGGGTCACCGCCAGTCAGCAGCAGACCCGCATATCTGCTTCTTCAGCTACACGAGAACTGGATGAGCTGATGGCATCTCTCTCTGACTTTAAGGTACCCTTTCATGACAACATCTTGTCCCTCCCCACCCCCAGACTCTCTTGCCTATTAGCCACATCTGCTGATCTTGTTTGGTCTCCAGAATGCCCTCTTTACCTCCCAAACTTGCTCTGAGAAACTTCCTGTGGTGGTATTTGTGCTTTCTGAGTGCTGCTGTAGGTGCTCTCAACTGCTATAAATTCTCATCACTGGCAGAGTAAGGCAGTTCTGAGGTCTGGTTTTCCTTTGGTTCTGCAGTTTGTCTGTTTGCCAAAGATAATGAGCTCAGTACAGGGTGAATTATTTTGCTGTGCTGCAGCTTAACAAGAAGTAGGGGAGCATGGGACACCAGCCTGCTTGCTGACAGAGACCAGGCTCTTCTGTTCTGTGGGATGACCCTCCTCTTTGGAGTGTGTTTTTACCCTGATGTGCTTTCTCTGAGAAGGATCTTCTAGGCACATGGTATGAGCACTGAAGCCTTTGCATCAGACAGCTGGAGACTTCAAAGGTTTCCATCTTAAAACAATATCACTTATTCACCTCAAAATAGGATTAAAGTCTGAGCTTCGTGTGGAGGCAGAGGATGGCAAATGCTATTCAGAATCTTGTTTGGAAATCAAACTATTGTATTGGAAAAGAACCGCTACTTCAGTCACATGTAGCACGTAAGAATCCCATAATAGGCTAAGCTCAGGAATAGCTTGCCCGTGGTCCTCTTGATATGTGAAGCACTTGGCATATGTACTTGGATAACTTGTTCTTTATTCATATAAGTATGTTATCCTTCTTGCACTAGGTCATTAACTGTGGAGCTTGTTTTAATGAGACTTCATTTACCCATAATCGTAGCAAAATCAAAACTATGTTCTCTTACTTTCTACTTCCTGCTGCTTTGCTTTTAGCCTTACTGAATCATTCACTTGAATTTGTCCTGAGAGGAGGAGAAAGCAAATATCTAATATGTTCTCTTTGTTGTTGTTGTTGTTGGGTTTGCCTTCCTTACCTACACATAAAAGTCTTCTAATCCTAAGACAGTCCCTAACTCACTGGTTTTCCCTCATACAGAAGATTCTGCTGATGCTTGGTGGTTCTAGTCTGTGATGAACTCCATCTCCTCCTACCATGATTTTAGGTGGGGCAGCCAGAGCTGAGGAGTGTTTTGTGAGGACAGGTAGACAGGACATTCAGTGACAGCTTTGCTGTTCTTTGTTCTCTGTGCCACCATTCATGTGAGTGCTTTTCATGTCTGCCATGGGTTTCATGGAGGTCATTAGAATACCTGGAGTTTTGACCAAGCGTGTGAGTTCAGAACCCAGCATGCTGTGCAGGACTTCGCTTGCCTTGCAGCTGCTGGAATTGAATTCAGTCTGCCATCTCTGGCCCAGGTACTCCATTTCGTGAGAATCTAGGAGTTACTCACTGTTTTCTCTAGACTTACTGTAGTGTGTGTTTAGTCAACTGCAAATATTGACACTGTAGTGTTGCCTTTTTTCCTCCATATTAGGTCCGAGGGTAGAGTGCAGGATACCCATCAGTGACTGTTCAGTCTGGTTGAAAAACTGCACTGTTGTGAAGCTGGAGAAGAGTTCCCACCTGGTGCTGCTGGCATGCTGTGCCTTGCTCCTTCTGTGTACTGTAGGGGCTTGAGTGCTATGGCCTTGTGCCCTGCTGCTTTTATCAGGGCTCAGAAAACAAGCCTGAGGTGTGGTTGCTGCCACAGGCCTTTGCTCCTGGGTGAGCAACTGAGAATGACCTTGCCCAGCACAGGTTTTCCTTGCTAGATACAAGGAGGGGACGTTTCTGAGTGTGGCTATTCAAATGTTTTGCAGTCTTGAGAGAAGGCCTAAGAATCTGCGTGCAACTCCAGTAAAACCTGCATGACAGGGACGAGCTGCTTGCAGTAATACTGCCTGCCTTCCTGCCTTAGTTTCTGGTTGAGCTCTGAGAGCAAACTGAAATGCAGCAAGACTTTAAGATTTTGGCTTTATAAACACAGCATTAGTGTTTTTGCAAGGCATTGAACTCATCTGTGTCTAAACGTTCTTCCTGAAGCACAAAGAACATGGTTTCTGTGATCATTTCCCTTTTGTTAATATTGTCATTGGCTCTTTTTAACAGTTGCTTTCATTTTTCCTGTCTTCCCGGTTGCCTCATTTTCCCTTCAATCCTTGTTTGGTTTTACCTTCTCTATTTGTGCCAACTAGTGGTGTTAGCTTGTTTGTAAGAACAGATTTCTAGTCTGTACCAGTGGCAGGATGGGAGAGAAGTGGAGTCTGCAAAGGTGAAAGGTGAAAGTCTGTTGTTTGAGTGCCAGACCCATGCGTGGTTGCAATAAGTAGGACAGGAAAACTAAATATGACGTGTAACTAGTTGGGAGTTGGTATGACGAGAAGTTGCAGTGGGTGGGGGTGGATGGAGTGGAGGCACTGATGTTTAATTTCCCTCATACCCCAGAGTAAAAGGTGCTATTACAGACTGATACATTACCTTTTTATCGTCTTCTGTGCGCTTTAATGAGTTGCTCATTCTTTTTGCTTACAGAATCCATTTGATTTTGGTTATCTAGCTCATCAGTCAGCGGGCACCAAGATTACTTAATGCACTTGTTTTTCAACCTCTGCCATTTCTGTGTAATGTGATGCCTGCTGACCGCATAGCTAGATGCTTGTATTTAACTGTTCTTTTACTGTTGAGTGTTCAACCATTGCTCTTATTTTGGAGCTAGGATGTTTTTAATATGCTGGAAATACTTGCTTTTGAGCAAAATGGTAGTCTTGCTTCGAAAATGACTTAGTTTCCGAACTTCCTAAAATGAAGTATAAACCACAGGGTAAAACCTGCTTACTTTTACAGGTGCATCCAGCTTAGGCAACATAGAGGGGGAGGGCAACACTGGGAAATTCCCTCATTTTAACTACTGAATATACTTAGTCCTTTTCGTCTCTGCTGTAACTGTGGGTCTTGCTGTGTTACTCGAGGGGAGGAGCAATCTGTAATGAATCGTGGTCCCCATTGCTCTTTTCTTTCCAAGTCGGATCTCCCTGTAGTGCTACTGTTCACAGCCGTGTGTGTACGTGCCAGCTCCTGACCCCTCAGGATGGTAACAGCTTAGGTCAGCTGAAGGTATATGTCTCTTCCATGTACTGGCAGATTTTGTGCACGTTCTGGTTCATGTTATCCTTTTATTCATGATAAGTATCCCAGAAAGGTAAGTACTGACTGAGATACCGTGCATAGGCTTAGCAAATTTTGTGCCCTGCTGCCTTAGAGCATAAGCATCTAACTTCTTGAGGCTTCTTTGGAAAATGTGACTAAGAATCAGAACAGGTCTTGATAGCTCTTGGATTTGGAAATCCTTTGTGGATACGTTTTTAAAACTGGGAGGGCTCAGCATTGGTCTTAGATTGACCTACTGTGTGAACTTGTCCAAGCCACTGTTCCGATTTCCCTTTTTAAGAAAAAGGAGTAATGCTAGTTTGTCACCTAGAAACCTACTGTGTGAACTTGTCCAAGCCACTGTTTCGATTTTCCCTTTTTAAGAAAAAGCAGTAATGCTAGTTTGTCACCTAGACCTCAGCCAGGAACCACTGAAAATGGGAAAAGGAGGACCTGTGATATTTTGTTTTCAAAAGACTCTGTGAGTTAAGGAGAACCAAAAACTCTGTATCAGTTGCTCTTGTTAGAGTGTATTTTGGATCAAAATTAATACTGATTTTATCACAATGTCAATATGAAGTCTTTGGCCTAAGGGGAAGAGGCTAATCCAGCCACCTAAGCAATGCTTACAAAGGCATGGAATGACTGACAGATTTGTATGGATTCAGTATGTGTCACGTCCAAGGTGAGATTAGTGATGTGAATAGAACAAAGCCCATGTCGTCTGTTCTTGCTGTGAATGCCTTGAAGCTTTGTTTTCATTGCCATGTACTCAGCCAACTGGAGCATTTTATTAGTGTATCAAGAAGAAAATGTCATGCTTTGTTCTATTCATTGATAGCTTTTTCTCAGCTTTGAAATGTAAAATTTACATGTCTGACTGTGAGTAAGTTAACGTGACCTTTACTTACAGTCTAGACATTCCTGGGTTTGTAGCTGGCTTCCCAGTGGCTGCTGCGTGCCCCCGTCACAGCTGCAGGTGAACACATGAGCTGTCACTTAGGAGGAGGGCATAGGAAAGGGATCTTGATGACTGTAGAACTTCATCTGCCATAATCTCATGTGAAGATCAGCATAATGTCATCCTGGTTCTGCTCTTTGGTATCTCATTTTCCTTCCTTACTCTTGGAAGTAAGACTTTGGATCAGCATGGCTCTTTGGTTTGGAGGTCATGATTGCTATAATGCTTAATTCTTTACTTTTTTCTTCTCCTTACCTCTGTCTTTGTCTTTTTCTTTCCTTATTCCTTCTGTCTCCTTTTTGCAGACTAGTTCCACTATGTCTCTGACTTGTGAACCCTCCCTAGAACCGGTTCCCAGTTCAGCAAATGCAAACTCCAGGAACACTCCTCATAGTTTAACAGTGCTCTCTCATTCCAAACACCCTTCTGCAAGTCACAGTGGGGACTCGGCAGTGCCGACATCTGCACCCTCAGCAATCCTCGGCATTGAGGAAGGCAGAAACACTGCAGTTCTGCCTGTTCCAGAGCGTTCTACCCCTCCTCCACGTATGCCCTGTTTGGCACAAACAGTCCCTGTTCCCCCACCACGGATTTCTTCTGGTTCTGCTACTCGTGGAGAGCAGATGACCTCTGCAAGCTTGGTTCAGCTGAGCAGAAAGCCTGACTCTTCTAGAAATGCTTCCCACGCTGTGCCGGCTTCCAGCATGGAGCTTCTGTGTAGATGTGCTCATGTGGAGGCCCAAGGCCTACAGGGCGGTTTGGTGAAAGAGACTGAGAAGAAGGAGCAGAGAACTGACCCCAAAATCTCAAGCGTATCGATTACAAATGCTGTAAATGGTCAGGGGAAGGGGCAGATACTTAAAGACTTGGATCAGCAGGGAGCGTTCAGGGACAATTC